CTAAAACCAGAGCCAGTGTAGCTGTCACCTACAACCTGAGCACCATGCCATGCTGGATGAATGCTGATTTAAGCCAGCAGCTGAGCAGTGGGATGCTGTCACCTCACCCTCTCCTGCACAGACAGTTGTTGGGCTGTGCTGTGCTCAGGGAGGAGTGTTTGCACTTCCTTTTGGTGCTTACATGAGCAGTGGGGAATTCTCTTGAGCTGCTGCTCAGGGCATGCTGAATACACCAAGTCTCTGGGTCTGAATTGTCAGCTGGCCACACTCCTGTTTGTGCTAGAAACAGCTACTTGTTACTCCTAAAGGGCTTTTTTGAGGGGAATCAGTGAGGTTTTGCCAAACTGGGGGGGGGGAATATGTTTGAAAAGTCTGTCGTCCTCCAAACATGCTTGTTTTGCATGTTGCTTACTTGTATGGTAAAACTGTCCCAACAGGGCTGTCCTTGGGTCACAAAGCACTGTTGGGGTTGGGTCTCTTTGAACGTAGTGTGAGGGTTTGCCTCGCTGAGAGCTGAAGCTGAATAGGGCTAATGTGGGAGTAGAGTTGCTCAGACCTGATCCCATGGTTTCATGAGATAATCCAGGTATATGATGGAGTTCAGATATCTCAGAACTTGGAAGAATCTGTTCATGAAAGAAACTTAGGCTACTTAAAGTTTTCAGCCTGAGAAATACCAATGCTTTCAGACTGTTTTGGGGGGGTTGTAGCAAAGTAATTTAACTCATGAAAGCTTTGGCTTCTTTCAGTCACTATGCCCTAACATGCCAGTTCTCAGGTGTTAGAGCTCTGCTTTGCATTGTGTTGTGCTTGCTTCCATTATTATCACCCTGAAATCAGGATCTCTCTGTAAGAAACCAGTGTTCTAGCTCTGAATCGCATACTGTGGACCTTCAAGCTGGAGAACATATCTGAAAGGGCTTTTTATGCTTTCCCTTACAGAACCCTAACGCCAATCCCAGACCCACAGCCCAGGACCTAGCTGGGTTTTGGGATCTCCTCCAGTTGTCCATTGAAGACATCAGCATGAAGTTTGATGAGCTGTACCACCTGAAAGCAAATAGCTGGCAATTGGCAGAGACACCGGAGAGAAAGGTGAGTGTGGAGTTGTTGAGACTGGCCAGAGCACCTTGCAGGCATTCGGGTATGTGAGGTCTATTTCTGTCTGCAGACAGAAGATCTCTAGGGCTTTTACCTCCTTGCCCTTGTGCAGTGTAATCTCACAGCCTTGCAATGTACTGGGAGCATTCCTCTTGAGTAATAGTGGAAACAATTTTGTACAAGGGGAAAAAAGTGGTATGATGGAGAGAGAGCAGAGTGATGAGTGGTGGTGTGTGCTTAAAGCAGGGATGCAGAGGCCTCTAGTGTTACAAGCACTGTATGAAGAGGCTTTAACTATTCCTGGTGTTGGAGTAGTCTAAAAAACACCCACTGGAACCTTTTGAAAATGCAGCACAGGCTGTGTCCAGGCTGCCTGCCTAAACAGGAGAGTAGGTAGGAGGACTATGGCTCTGGGCAGGGTGGCATATTAAAGTTGAGTTCAGTCTTCATGTGCTCTGATGTGTAGCTGGGCTGACTCTACAAACCCTAATCCACTTCACCAAAGGCCTGTGTACCATGCAATGCAAAATAGCACATTTCTAGACGTAGGAGAAGCTCATTTTGAGACCTTTGCTCAAGAGCTGCTCCTGCTTCTTTCACCTGACACTTGATCTCATTGCTTAGTCCCTCATGCCACGAGTCCCCACGACATCAGAGCAAGCTTTTGATGCTTAGGTTTTTCCTTACTGTCTCCCTAAAGGAGGAGAAGAAACCACCCCCTCCAGTGCCAAAGAAGCCAGCCAAGTCCAAATCCCAGCTGAACCGGGACAAAGCCTCTGATTCAGACAAGCAGCGCCAGGAAGCTCGCAAGCGTCTCATGGCAGCCAAGCGGGCGGCCTCGGTGCGGCAGAACTCGGCCACGGAGAGCGCAGACAGCATCGAGATCTACGTCCCCGAGGCCCAGACCCGCCTTTGAGCCCAGGGGCAGAGGAAGGAACCGCGTGGTTTTTATAAGTCATTAAAAAGGCAACAAAAAAAAAAACAAACACAAAAGGTTCTCTTAAACTAGTGTGGTTTCTTGAGTCTGGAGACAATGAGCCATGCTCGCAAAGGGCTCCCGAGTTGGCTTTTTTTTTTTTTCTCTCAGCTTTAAGTAATGAAGATTTTAAAAAAAAAACAAACAAAACAACAAAAAAAAAAAGAGGAATTCCCCCTCGTTTTCTCCCTGGCTGTGGTGTTGCTGAAGGGACTGAAGAGACTCCTGGAAACTCCGACCCCCTCGACTTGGACCTTCGGTCTTTTTACTTGTTCTATCTAATGAGAATTATTAGCTTGTTTACAAGAAGAGGACAAGACAACATGAAGCCTTGAGCACTTGCCATGCTGTGTTCTTCCTCCTCCTCGGTTCTGTTCTTCCTTCTCATCCTTTTAGTTTGACCTGCTCCTGCCTCCTTTCTCCCACCCCTTTGCATGGCTTTGTTTAACCGTGTTAGAAACAACCTCTCTTCCACCGAGCTCCCGACGAGAACACCCATTCAGTGTGTACTACTGTTGCACTCTGCTAGCAAGCAGCCTTTCTTGGGGTGGGGGGGTGCTTTGTTTTCCTTTTGATGGGGGATATCAGGGTGGGGGGAGGATGGGGTGGGCAGGGGCAGGGCCATGGGTTTGTATTCCTCTTGTTTGATTGAAGTTGAGAGGATGACAGGGTCTGTGGAATGTAACTGCAGAGTTGTTGAAATGCAGCCCAGAAGCAAATGTGCAATAAGGTAGCAAAGGGGGGGGGGGGGGGGGAACAGTGCTTGGCTAGCTGATTTGGGGAGAGCACTACCCTACTCCAGGCCCAGGAGCTGAAGGAGCACAGAGCAACTCCAGGCACGATCCACACATGCTTCACTTTGTTGTTTTTTTTTTTTTCCTCCTCTTTTATTTTTTATGAGATTATTTTCCTTGAATTGCGTGTTGAGAAAGAAGCTGCTACACTGGGGGGTGGGGGGAACCTGTTTCACAGGGGCAGTGTGATGGTATATCAGGGTGGGAGGAGTGGGTTTTGTACAGAGGAAGGCACAGGTAGCTGGTGGTAGGCTGCCTGCCTGTATGTATGTGTACATATGCACATATACACTTAGTAGTACCTGTACATTGAATTCATACACACGTATACATGCCCATAGACACAGTGCAGACGGTGTGCTTAAAAGCACCTTGGTGAGAATGGGCATATGTATAGCATATATTTTTACATGTACTATATCTAGATGTGTGTAAAAGTGTGTGTAAAAATATATACCCTGTGTGTAATCAGATGACTATTTTTTCCTTATCTCCCTGCTCTCTGGGTAGAGGAAGGATTGCTACATATTTTTTAGCTCATTTTTCCCCTTTGTAGGTCTCCTTTTCAGCCTGGCTTCTTGAAGCCACATCTGCCACCACCAAATTCTTTGCCACCCCCTCCAAAAAGCAGAGCATTTGGCCTCATTCGGAGTGATCTGGTGGGATTTGGGTTTGTTTTTCTTTCCATTCACTTGCTCGAATGAGTTGGGAGATTGTGTGTTACTTTTATGGGGGTAGAATCCCAGAGATGGAGTCTGAATCCCAACGAGGGTGTTGGTGATCCAGAAGGCAAAAAGTAAAGGGAAATTGTGAATGATGGCTGAGTTACAATTATATGCTGTAAACTGTTGTCCATGCACAGATGCTCTTAGAGATTTACTCTCAAATGTGAAATTGGGTTTAATGTAACTCAAATCCTGCATTGGTTTTGACGGTTGTGGGTAGAGATACTGATGTGTTGGGTTGCACTGTTGTAAAGATGCTGTTTTCGAGATCTCTAGCACTGAACCGGGGACACAAAGGAAAAGGGTGGTTGGTTTGTTTGTTCTTATTTACTCCTCCAGCCGTGTCTGAGGCTGCTGTGGGGGGGAGCTGGCCTGGAAGGCTGGTTTTTCTGGGGCTCATTTTGTTTCCTGCCACCTTGGAGGAGGAGAACTCGCAGCAGCAAGGGCAGCTGGCTGACTTACCATACAAACCACGATCAATAAAACAGATGCAGTCTGACTTTACAGCGCCTGCTGGTCTCTCTCCCTCTTTATTCCCAGTGGGGTGTGTGGTGCTGGGCTGCAATGGGCTGGTGGGGGGGGGACGGGACTATATATATTTAATCTTGACAGCTTTATAAATGTACATACATATATTAAAATATCTACAAATATAGATGTATATGTCTGAAACCGATGTGTTTATACATATTCATACCCCTTTATATAGATAATTATATATAAATCTCTGTCTTTTTACTCTTCTGGGTCCTGAGGCGGAAGCAGCCAATCAGGGGGGAGCCTGAACGCACGTGGATGTCAAGAAAGAGCTCTCAGCCAATCAGAGCTGCGTGACGTTTAACAAAATGGCTGCTCCCTGCTATAAGATGGCGGGTGAAACAAAATGGCTGCGCCCTGTGTCCATAAGGGGGTTGGCGTTCCGTGTTAAATGCACTTCCGGGTAAGCCAGTGGGCGGGGCGGCTGGTGCTGGCAGCCAATCACAGCAGGTTGTGTGACTGCTGTGGCAAATGGGATGCGTGCGTGCCGAGAGGGGGCGGGGCGGAGGGGGAGCAGCGGGGCGGGCGTGGATGGCTGCGCCTCGACCCACAGCTCCCCGCAGGCCCGAGTGGCTAAGGCCGCCCGGGGCACCTCGGGGTAGGGCTGTGCTGGGCTGTGCTGTGCTGGACTGGGCTGTGCTGTGCTGCAGAGCCCCCGGGTGTTGTGTGAGGGCAGCGCAAGGCGGGGTGTCCCTGGGGAAGGGTGAGCCTGTGCGCTGTGCATCCCCTGTCCGTCCCCCGCCTGCTCGGTGCTGCTGCCCTCTCTGCTCGGCTCCGCGCTCACGTTTATCCTCTGCATACCCCGTGTGCCGCTGCCTGCCTGCGGTACCAGCCCCGCACGTGTCTCCGAGGCCAGTGCCCCAGACGCGGGGGACCATGGGGTGTGCCCTGAGAAGCAGAACCGGGAGAGCGAGGACCAGCCAGGTACGAGCAGCACGGCAGGAAGCAGGAGGGGATGGTTTGCACTGCGCTGACCACACGTCCCTGTGGGCTCAGGCACCCTTGCTGGTCATCCCGGTCACGCTGTTCCCGGGTGCGGTGTGATGCCTTGCACTGGTCCCTCACCCCTCCCATGGGTCCTCAGGAGCCCCGAGGTGCTCAGCGGAGGCTGCAGGAGGGGCAGGAAGAGTTCACATTCATTGAGCTCACAGTCCCCTGCCCCAGTGCTGGCCCCTGCCCCATTCCTCACCATGAGCACCCATGCCCGCTGCCAGTCCTGTCACCAGAGCTGCCCAGGGGTGACCCTGAGGCCCTGTGCCTCCATCCTTCCATAGGGCAGGGGAGCCGGGGAAGGGGCACAGAGCCCATCGGGTCACCCTACACCATAGCAGGCCAGTGGTAAGGGGGCTGCAAAGGGCTTGAGCTGGTGCTAACCCCTGCTGTGGTGGAGGGCATGTCTCATCCCAAGGGAAGCAGTCACCAACCTGGCACAGAGCCTGAAGCTCTGTGTGAAGAACCAGCATTCACACTGCTAGGGCATACGAGGGGCTCACTCAGCCCTTCTGCAGTGCCCATGTCCTCTGGGTCTCTGCCCACCTCCCAGGCTCCAGCCCCAGCAAACTGTGAAGGAACCCCACTGACATTGCTTCTTTCTTCCCCTTCCAAGGGGCTGCTTGTCTCATTTCCACAGTGCTGGCCAGGAGGAGAGGAGACACAAACACATCAGCCCTCTGCTGCTGCCAGATACTTCCCGGCTCCATGATCAGACGCTGTGGGAAGCGAGCACATCACATCCCATCAGACCAACCCCTGGAGCATGGCCCGTGCCAGGCACTGGCCCTGCTTCTTCCACACCCAGCACATTCCTCAGGCCCTTGAAGCAGCTTTGCCGGACATCAGGAGGTGGGAGCTGGTGGTAAGGGAGGAGCAAGTGAAGCCACCGCAGCTGACACAGTCCAGGCTCACACACGGCTCGTACTTAAAAAACAAGAAACAAACTAGAAAACTTTTATTTGACAACGGAAGAACGAACAAAAAGGTATTTACAGCAGTTTTGTTTTGCTCCGTGCGTTTCGTTCCAACAATCCCTGCCCTCCCCTCGCGTTCTGGTCCATCTCCAGGTCCATGGCCCAGGCAGAGCTGTAGCACTCCTGCCCTCGGGGAGGAAACCGCTTTGGTTTGACTGGGGCAAAATTAACGGGAGGAGACCAAAAAGCCTCTCTGGGGGGAGGAAACTGACCTGCAGGGTGGGGGCTACCTACAAATAAGAGAGGGAGGCCTAAAATTCAGGAAGGAGGCAGGGAGCAAAGGCTGGGTGTAAAATGGAGCGGGGGGAGAGGAGGAAGGGGATGTTCACAGCCACCCCATAAGCATCCTCTGTGCATGGCAGTGCTGGAGCCAGCCCTGTGCAGCTCAGGGGCACCCAGCCTGTGACACAGCACTGGCACAAACCTTCTGCAGCCCCAGCAGCACTCGGGAGCTCCTCTCCCCATCACCTTCTCTCTGAAGAAAAGGGAAGGGCAGCACCAGCCACTAAAAGCAGTGCTGCTCCCTTCCAGGCCCCACCACCCTGCAGGGTGCTGCTCCCCCAGCACCTCTGGCTCCAACCACTGCAGAGCACCAGGTCCTCTGGACGTTATTAAATCTAATCATGCAACTCAACAGTCAGGCTAATTTCCTAGGATTAGTGTTTCTCAGGATAGATAACACAGGTGTGCACCGCTCTGTAACTTACATTTTGCAGTGAAACAGCAACAGCTCAGTCCCAGTGCCAGCGCAGCACCCAGGCTGTCGGTGAGCAATGCCCAGGCTGGGGCACAGCCAGCTCCCAGCAGGGACCAGCTTGTCACTAGAGGTCCCCAGCACCGCGCAGCCACCAGCCCTGGAGAGCAAGAGCAGGAGGAAGGGAGCAGGGACTCATCCCTCTGCTTCCCAGTGCAGCTGGTGGATGAGGCAGCTCTGTTTGCTGGGAGCCCATAGGCTGCAGGCTGGGAGTGCTGCACTAACAGGTCACCACACAGGCCCCTGCCCACAACGTGCCTCTTCCCACACTAGTTTTTAACCAAAAAACGAGAAAATCAAGAAGTTGGATATAAAGTTTTCACAGTCTCAGCTTCACATCCACCCCCAGCAGCCGCCTGCAGTCAGCACCAAGCAGGCTCTGCACCGTGCTCTCTGTTCCAGGGCACAACATTGAGCAGGAACTGGAGAGGAACACGGGGGGGGGGGGCTGTGGAAATGCTGAAGAGAAGAAACAAAAACGTAATAAAAATCATATAATAAATCACAATTAAAGGGAAAATGTTTCAACAAAAAAAAATTTGCTAAACAGCACCATCGAGATTTCTACTGGCAGCATCTAAACAAAAAAGGAGGGTCCCGTGTTTTCCATGTGGAAAAAATACCACAGGCTTCGCGTTTCCAGTTCATCTGTGCTTTGCCCTTCGCTGGGCAAGGCAGGGCTCTGCCAGCACAAGGTACCAGGAGGGCCCTCCACAAACAAAGGGGAAATAAAAAGGAGGGGGAGTGGGGAAAGAGATGAGAGATTTGGGAGGAAAAGCTTTTCATCCACAGTCCTTAAAACAGACACCAACTTTAAAACAAACATCAATTCTCTCTTTCTCTCCCTGCAGAAGCGGCGTTGGACCCTTGTTTACAGGGCAGAGAAAAAGAAGTCAGCAGGTTTCCCAAGGGGAGCTCCACAGTAACCCTCCGTGGCGGCAGGGAGAGGTCAGTAAAGCTGCAAAGGTCTTTTCACAACGGCCACATCCTCCCAAGGGCAGCAGATGGGAGCCATGGGACAGTCCCTCCTCTCCCCATCCTGGCTGGCACAGACACCAGAGCCCCACAAAAGGCAGGAGTCCTCTTCCATGACAAGCTGGTCGGGGGGTGCAGGCAGGTGGGTGGCACCGGTGGGGGCGAGGGGTGGGGGGGGTGGGGGTCAGGCACCCCAAGGACCTGGCCATGGGGTTATTTGGAGAGGGCGGCTGCGGGGGGCTCAGTCTGGGGCGAGAGGGGCAGCTGCCCCCCCTGCCGCTGCGACTCCAGCTCGGCCGCCTTCTGCAGAGCCACCTCCACCAGCAGCTGGAAGCTGCTGAAGTCGTCCCCAAAGAGCTCTGGGGGTGTGGGGGGGGGCGTGTTGAAGAGTCCGCTGGTGGGGCTGGCTGCCTCGGCACGGGCCAGCAGGGTCATGGTGCTGCCGGGGGCACCCAGCGCTGCCTTGGGGACAGGGTCCGGCTCCGCTCGCTGCGGCCCAGGCGGCTTCTCCCAGTCGGGGCTGTGGGCGCTCACCACCGTGAGGCTGCTGCCCAGCGCCTGGGCAGGGTGGCACAGTACCTGCGGGCACACGGACATGGACAGCACCTTGGAGGCCCCCGCGGCCGTCACGGGGGGCACCACCAGCACCCCGGAGCCGGCAGCAGCCCCCCGCGGCAGGGCCACGTCGCCGGCTTTGCCCCCTCGGCGGGAGATGGTGAACTGGTTGGGGTCCTTCCCGTCCTTGCGCAGCATGTCGGGGAGCAGCCGCCGCCGAGCGTTGATGAACCAGTTGCAGATCTGGGAGGAGAGAAGGGCACAGCGCTGTCAGCACAGGGCTGGGAGCCCGAACCAAGGTAGCAAAAGCCTCTCCGAAGCCAGCAAGCAGCTCCCACACTGTTCCTGCCCCCCAGCCCTGCACCTCCTTCCCGTGGGGCTCCGCAGAGGCAGAGCTGCTCCAGGCAGGGCTTGCCCAGGCATGCACGGAAACCCCAAGGCCGGCTGCTTCCTGCCTGGCACCACCAGCCCCTTCCTCTCTGCAGCCCCATCCCTGCTGCCTGTGGCACAACGCTCCCCCTGAGCCCTGCCAGCACACCCGGGCAGGGACCGTGCATGGTGCCAGCGCCCGACACCACCACTGGCACCTTCTCATCGTGCCAGTATCAAACAGAGTCTTGGCAGTTCTGGGGCTGAGCCACCCCATGATCTGCAGCAAGGCTGCACACTGGAGCTGCCCAGCCCATTTCCCCAGGGAAGGATGGGCCCAGCACTAACACCCCAAAGTCCCAGCAGCTGACAGTGCCCAGCCTTGTGCAGATGAAGCGGGGTGCAGCCTCCAGCACCCTCCTGAGGGTCCCTCCTATCCTGCAGCCAGAGCCTGGGGTGTTGCACAGAGCCAGCGTGGAGCCCAACAGCACCCAGCAGCTGATGGGGAGTTTTCCCCATCTCCAGGTGCCAGCCTGGGTGGGAGCACTGAGGCTGCACAGAGCAGACAGACAGCAGCACGGATGGAAAACCCTAAACCCCATCAGCTCAGGGAGCTGCAGCCCCCCATCCCCTACGGGGGTGGCAGGGATTGCGGCAGTACATCCACACCTTCCCGTGCCTCCTGCCAACGAGGCTACAGCCAACTTTAAACCTCTTCCAAACATCTGCACACCAAAGAGGAAGCCCTTCAGAAACACAGCAGCCATGTATTCAGCCTTGGCCATGTATTGTTTCAGCATCTTTCTATAAAATGCTGCATTAAAATAACTGCTTTCTTCCTAGAAAACAATTAGAAGAGAATAAATCGTGGAGGGGGGAATGACTGATCTTTGCTAAATCAACAGCTATGGAAAATATTTCCCCCAGGGAGAGAGAACTCACCACAACTTCGATCGCAGCGAGATCTCAGTTGTTCTTTGTCTTTGAGACAGTATTTGTCATTTAACATCCTCACATACACTTGTCTCACCCCCTTTTCCCTTCCAAACCCTCCCTTGCGAGCCTTAGCTGGGTCCCCATGACATGATCTTGTGATCCCATGGCCATCAGTCGCTGTAATCCCCAACCAGAGGGCTGGACTTCCAACAAAAACCCCAACCAGCACCGAGAAGCTCCTAAAATCCTGCTGTGCCCCCAACATCTCCTTCCAGCTTCCAGCTCCCTCTGGAGAAGGCAGCACAGAGATGGGCACAGGCACCAGTGACACCGCAGCACACCGCACGGTGTCACCCCCCCGGGAGCTGGGATCAACCTCAGCTTTGAAGCAAGAAGCTTTTTGCTTCTTTCCAAGCACAGCCATCGCTTGTCCCCACCACAAGCACACCTGGGCTGTCCCTTTGGGCAGTGTCTGCCCCCTCCACCACCACGAGAGCAGCATCCCCTCTGCAGGGAGGAGGAGCCCATCCCCACAGGAGGGCACACGCTTGGAAAGCTGCTGTTGTCCGGGAAGCCTCGCCAGGAGCAGGCACTGCTTTTGTACCTCCCCACTTTCTGCCCTGCAGAGCTGGGGCGCTGCGCTTCCGCTCCCTGGCTCCACAACTGAACAACCAGGGGTGCGTGGCCCATGGCAGCAGCAGAGCCCTGTGCTCAAGAGGCTCCTGGAGGTGTTGGATCAGCATTGATGGATCAAACCCTGCAGCCAAAGCGCGTCCCACACCTCCACCCACCCAACAGGCTTCTCCTCCCAGATGCAGCCTGTTGGGTCACCTCAGACTGACACAAACCCCAGTGGCAGCCATGGGAAATGCCCCCGGAGGGGACCCCCACCCGGGGGGGGGGGGGCACTGGGCAGCCTCTGCATCAGGCACACAGTGGCTGCAGGGAGTCCCATGGGACAAAAAGCCAGTGCAAAGCCACACCTCAAAACAAGCCCATGTGCCTGCAGCATCCTCCTTGGACCCAAACTGCCCAGGGCACAAACACCTGAAGTCCCACTGCCACAAGCCCTTGGGTAAACCCCTGTATGCCAGAGGCCATATATCTGGGTTTGTCCTGTCCGCACCAGCCCCGGTCCATGACAATCCCAGATTCCTGCAGCCCCAAACCCATCACTGTGCTCTGACTCGAGCCCTCCCGGGACCAGCACCTCAGAGCACTCAGACACAAACTTGGTGCAAAGCCAGGATTTAAATAATCCATTAAAATGAAAAGAAAGTTGGCCTTGGCCAGGAAGACGGAAACTAGACACAGCCACTGCCCACACACCGGTGTCTGCCTGGCCAGGGCCACGCTGAGCTGCAGAGAAAGAAGCCAGAGGTGCAGGGGAAAGCCCAAGGAGAGGAGCTCAGCTGCAAACCCACTGCCCCTTGCCTGCTGCCCTGCACACAAGAGCTGTTTCCTACCCTGATGTCAGAAGCAGAGCATCTCCTTCCCTGTCAGGAAGGCTGCTGGTGTTCCCATGGATCAGTGAGACAGGCAGCTCTTCCTGACACCCTAAGAGCAGGCAGGGTGAAAGCCAAAGCTGAAAGGAAAAGCACTGCTCATCCCCGCTGCTCCTGGCTGGGCATCCATCACAGCACCCCAAGGAGAACAATCAACCCACAACCAGGGACACCTGCCCCAGAGCACTCAGCTGGACTGGGGTTTCCTTAATACACCTGGTGTAACTGGGCGCAGCTGGGCCAGCCAGTCCTTGGTGCTGCAAATGCCCACCCCAGGGTGGTTGTTCTGCCCAGTGATGTGTGCAGAGGGGCAGTAGCCCTGGCCCCTTTACTGGGGGTGTCCAGGGGAAGAGGATAAAGCAGCCCCCCTGAAGCCCTCCCACCCATAGTGTCTGTTACTAACAGAGTATTGCTGAGTTGGTCCCCATCCCAGTCCATCCATCTTCTGGCCAGCCAAAAACCTCTACTCCAGCACTGCCATAAAACTGGTCCCCAGGGCTCAGCCCTCTTCCCAAAAGGATGCTGCCATGTGCCAGTGGCTTTGCTCCCCTGCGTTCCCTCGCTTGCCTCCTCACTGCCTTTCAGTGGCAAGTGATTCCAGCATCCCAAATCCTTTGGGATCTGCAGCAGGGTTCTCGCAGTCCGGCCCTTCCCAAGCCCCGTGGCACAGGACCCAGCAGCACCCCCAAGACGTGGGGACTGGCTCCTACCTGCAGCACAGAGAGGCTGGTCTGCCCCGAGAGGCTGAGCTTCTCCTGCTCCGAGGGGTAGGCATTGAAGCGGTGCTCGTAGAGCCAGTCCCGGAGGATCTTCACAGACTCCTTGGGGAGGTTGCCCCTTCTCTTCCTCTTGTTGGGCTGCGAGGGGTCGGGGGACGTGGCGCTGTCGTCCTCCCCGAGGTCACTATCCGACATGGTGGAGCTGCCCGCAGACCTCTCCTGCTTAAAGCCTGCCAAGGAGGGGGGGACCGAACAGCGGGCATCAGGCTGGGAGTGCAGGGGGGAGCACAGCCACACACCCCCCCCTCCCCGCACCTCGAACATGGGGGGCGGCTCCGTGCCCAGCTTTGGGGTGATGCAGATGAGCCCCCCGAGGGGGGAAGAGTTACAGGCACCGGTGATCCCCCCCCCCCCCCCCTTCCCGGCACTTTGGGGGTCTCGGGCTCGCCGATAACAAACGGAACACAGAGGGGGGGAGC